GGGGGGGAAAGAAAGGAGAGGAATCAACACAAGGGAACAAAACCAAGAAGCCAAGATTCCCAAATACTCCCTGTAATAGACACAGAGGCCATCTTAACGCCAAGCTGCATAAAGCTACCTTGGCTGTACGAAACATCGTAGAGTATTTGGCTGGTATCCTGGCCTCTTCCAGCTCCTCGCTCTAGGAGGGTGAGGAGGAGGGATGGGAGGCTGTGCGGCAGCACGACAGGCAGAAGGCACTGGAGCTCTATCGAGAGAAGCACTGGCTGCTACGCAGGGTTCCTAAGTGCAGCGGAGGACGCTTTGCAATGCTGCTCCCCTGTGGCGTGTTCTCTCCCTGACACACGGAGTCCATGCTCCTACGCAGAAGTGTCTCCTGGTCATACTGTTATGGAGGGTGTCCTGAGGCACTTGTGGTGGGACTTCCTACGCCCTATCCGAAGCAGAACAGCCCCTTTGAAGGGGCCAGCAAAAGATGGCTCTGCTTGCTGATGGCTCTGCAAGGCAGGCAGCACTCACACATGCAACACATCAGTGCTCCTAAAGAGCGGGCTGGGCTACAGGAAGAGCAAATCTTTGGCCTGCAAGCAGGGTCACCTCTACTGTGGATATCAGGCCAGCTCTGGGATGGCTGGGTGCCAAACTGCCTTTGACCATGATCATGCAGTCCTGTGAGAACCTGGGCAGGCTTATCACAGACACAAAGTGCCCTTAAAAAAAAAAAAAAAAAGAAAACAAAACAACTAATAACCTTAAGAAATTAATTCTTCCTTCACTGCCTGCCTGGCCCAAGCTTAGGTGAACGTGCTGAGGAGGTCTTGCCATGCTGAGCATACTACTAGCACGTGCCACAAGAAGCAAAAAGGATGTTGCTCCCGAGTGTCACTCTGGACACCGGGTGACCAAGGCTCAGAGGCTCAAGCACAGGCTTGACAGTAAGTGAAGGTGGCGTTTCAGACTTCAAGGAGGTGAAGGTGAATTTTTCCAGGGATGCCTACATGACAGAGCATCACCAGTTCCCCTGATCTTCCACCGCTCCCCAGAGCAAAGAAGAACAGAGTGGCCACGCTGCCCAATATTCAGAGGTGCCAAACGCTGGTGGAAACAGAGCCGTCAGCATTCAGTCCTATGGAAAAGCTGGCTGACTGGGGCATGGTTCTGTTCTCTGCCACATCCCCTCAAGTCCTAATTCATCCAAGCAGAATTTGCCTGCAGTATTTATCTACTGCATCACTCTGAAGCTGAGAAGCGCTATGCAGTGGAAAGTGGCTAGAACATGGTCGGGTGGGAGACCAAACTCTCTTCAGTCCATCATCTCCTGATCAAGGCACTGTCTGGATCAGCTCTGGTTCTCTTGCTGTCGGGCAGACTATACCTCTTTTCATAACACCTAAAAACACAGCTAGCCTTCCCGTGCTGAAGGATGTGGCCTGTATTACAACAAGGTTCCCAAATAATAGTCGCACCTGTACCTCATTCCTTGTCAGGGCAGCCAAATGCTGTCTTCTAGGTGCAGCGAGGAGCTGCTGATGCTGCCAAAACCAATATTTGAGCAAAGCTTGGGAGCCCCAGCACAACAACATGCCATCAGGGCAAGAGCTCAGGCACTGTCCTGGAAGGGCTACCAGGCTTCTCACAACAAAAGCTGTTATTTGTGCTGTGTCTGAGCAGGTATTTGAACCCACGCTTGCAGATGCAGAATCGCATTCTGCAGGTCTATCACCAAGGGCTTCTAGAGCTTGGCAGGTAATTTGGAGAGCAACTTGCCACCTCCTGACTGCCTGTAAACCAGCTGCCCCCAGGACTCGCAGCCAAGGAGAGTTCCCTCTGACCGAGGCAGGTTCTCTGCCCCGTCACCGGGAACAGATTCAACGTGCTCCTGCCCTCTGCAAGAGACTGAAGAAGCCTCCCAACAGGCATTTCAAAGACTAGAAACATGGACAACACGTATCATTTTCCACAGGTAATTCAGTCACTTTTTTTTTTTTTGGAGGAGAATGACAACAAATGAGGATGAGAATGGAAAAGAGATCCCATGAATGGTTCCCACTGCTTGCTGTTAGCATATCACCAGACAAATGAAAACACTAAATGTAGCAGAACCCCCTGAAAACTTGGATTCACAACAAAATCGTCCTGTTTTCTTCCTCTTAGCACTGTTTATTTGCTGGCAAAAAGGGAAGCCCTAATGCTATACTGGTGCAGCTCCTGGAGTAGAGTCAGTCGATGGCCATATGCCCCGCCAGTACTACACTTCCATGACCACTACTTCCTGCCCCTCCAGCTGTGACAGAAGAAAATCATAAAAGCCACATGTACAGTCACCTTTAAAAATGTCTGGTTTTTTGCAGCTCAGGTTTGCCTCAGCTACAGCAGCAAAGTGTTAGAAAAAAACTATGATCAGAAGTATGGGAAACATCATGGATGAGGTAAAGCTCATCACCATTGACAGCAGCTCTACTTTGAACCAAATAATTGCTGGCGTTAATTACAGGAGCAGCTCTCCGCCAGGCAGTATTTGAGCACTTTTAACAGGGATTGCCAGAGGCAAGGAGAGCTCTAGCTTGGGTCTGTCTGGCCAAGGTCCACCACAAGGTTCCTCTCTCCCTTCTGCTTCACCTGTTCTCCCAGGAGAAGCTCCCACTATGATGTTATCAAGGCTCACGGGCATTAGGATAGAAGAGAAAATCAGTCTCTTCCTAGGGGCTGGAGCACAGGTCACGAGGGGGAGCAGGGTACATAACGGTTGGAGCTGAAGCAGAAATCAACATGCATGCACCAAGCTAACTATTGACAGCTGAAGGTCAAAGACACAGGTCGGCTGTGCTGCCCCCAACATTTCTAGCTCTTTCTGCAGCCTAGAATCCATGCCAAGGAGAACTCCATCTACCCAGCTGCTCCTGAGAGTTTAAGGAGAGGAAGAAAAGAAAGAAAATAGCTACAGTGATAGTAAATTAAGACTCATCAGTTCCTCAGAGCACCAGAAGGAAAGAAACCAGAGCATTTATGACAAATCACGGGGTTGGAGGTGACAGTGGGGAACAGCACTGAATAATGACTAAAAAAGCCAGCCTGCACCTGCACTACCATACCCAAGGCTGTAATTTGCTGCAATCTGAGGTGATAACGATGGCAGTAAATGGGTTACATGTAGAAACAGATAGCCCAAGAATAAGCCACCAACTGCTTCGTAGCAACCACCATCATCACTGCATACTCAGCAGAAGTAGTTACAAAATGCTGCATGCCTGCTCGGAAAGGATGCTGAACAGTTGGGTGTGTGTGTCTTTGGATCCTGCTGAGGCAGGCAGTGCTGTAAGTAGCATCGTAAAATGTAAAGTGCCTGTTTCGCATAAGCATATACAAAATTTCAGGGTTCGTGGCGTAAACTGGTGTTAGTAGGGCAAAGGGAAAGGTTGCGGACAGAAGGGAACAGACGATGCCAAAGATTAAGCTGCAATAAGGCATTTACAAAGTAAAGAGTTAAACCTGTTCAAAGTCAGGTTCAAGCTGCTTCTCATGTCGTTTTTTTTTTCCATAAAATTTTAAAATTGCTGCCTCCCTGCAGAAAGCTATGCTCCTTTATTCTGAACAACTGCCTACAGATTAACTCCCCCATGCAGGTCACGCAGCACTGCCTGGATTTTCTCTTCAAAATAATCAACATTTACTATTTCCAGCACCTCCCACAGTACTGGGCACCTTCCACAAAGGGGCTAAACAATCTGAGGCACTTTTGAATCAAGTGGCCCACAGCAGGAGTATTTCCTTATAGCTTCCATCAATTAATAGCTGGCACCTGCCTTGAAGCACTGGCATTTCTGAAGCGGAGGCTAGTCACTAGCTAGAAAGGAGGAGGAATAATTCCTTCTTCTAGACTTGCTAAGATCTTGCTTCCCTGAGCACCTCGAGCAATGCTGAGCTCTTCTTCCAGAAGGAAGGCACCTGGTCTGCACAAATAATCCACACCTCTCTTCATGCATGTCTGCGTCTTCGTCTTGGGCACTACTGCCCACTTTAGAGAGCGTGATTAGCCTCCTCCAAAGGTTATCCACAAATACAATCAATCCTTCAAGGCTTGGACTAATCCATGTATCATTTTTAAGTATATGTTACACAAAATTATAACTTTCTCACATCACTACTTGCTCTTCCTTCCCAGTCAGTGACAAGGGAATTAAACCGTGGCCCTTTGTGCACCACAGTTTACCACACCACAAGCTGGCAAGTTCCTTGCTTGGTTGTCTTTCTTTTGCTCTGTTCCTGATCCAAGACAGAACTTCATTTCTTGCCTCCACTGCTCACATCTCTTTATTAGCTCTTTGCAAAAAGCCTTGATGGAGTCAAGTAAATTACTTCTGGTTTCCTTCACCTATTATTTGCTAGTATAGTCTTAGAGCTGTTGTAATTAGGAAGGCTTGATCTTATTATACCAAGTTAAATTAGGTGTTACAGGACTTTATTTTATTCCCTGGTGTCTTATGAATAGACAGCATGAAGGACAGCAGCTGTGAAAAAACAGTTGTTCACACAGACATTAAGAAAAACGGACCTAAAGAGATCATCTTTAAATTGAAATGGAGTTTTCTAAGCTTTGCCTATGCTTGGCAGATGAGCAATGAGAGAGTAATTGCCCAAATTTACAGCACAGCTTGAGCAACGCTGATATCATCAAGATGTTCACATGAATGATGTTCAGGCCTGAGGGACACGTGGACCTGACTAATGGAAAACGACTGTCAGAGTAGTCTCGGAAAGGCAGGTGCCGGGACGGGGGGAGTACCTGCCAGGGTGGCTGGAAGTGCAACCACTCGAACTGCATGCAGGGTGGTGTGATTCCAGGGGCTGGGAGAAGATCACAAATTAAGGAGAAGTTCTATTTATTGTTCCAGGAAATAAGACTTTATGATGCATTGCACCGAGAATAGGCAGCTCATTTTAATGAGATGACAGATCATTGTCAGCAACTCAACCAGTTTGTTTCTTCCACAGCTCTTAAGTGATCCTCCCTCTCCAGCAAGGCTTAATCTTTTTCAGAAACTGACGTGCTCTAATGTCAGTCTCATCAGTTGGTTGATGACGCATAATAATCATTCAGCTCCTCTGCAGTGCACTCTCTGTTTCTTAGAGGTTGATCTTGTCTTACGCTTCAGACTACCCCTCGGCATCCTTTCCTGACTGCTAGGCCAGGTAACATAGGCATGTTGTAGGTCAGTATTTATACCCTGCAAACAGCGTCTGCTCCTGTCCACTTACACGTGCATTCACTCTTACTGAAGCCCTAGGCCCTGTGTGGAGTGCAAGTCCCCCACCTCTGTGCAGGTTACTCAAAGGCAGGCAGGTGGCATTTTATTCTTGGGCCCTCAGGCAGAAGACAGGGTTATATCAAGGACAGTATTAGCACAGCGCACAGTACCGGGAAGTCGTTAATTGCTTGTATGGACCAACGTCGCCGGGCAGAGCGAGGAGACATCTGTATGTGAAAACGTTATACCCAAGAAAAGGGAAGAAAGACACCAAGAAAATTAAAGACAAAGGTAAATAAACTGAAATGAAAAGTGCCCTGAACCAGCAGAGTAAAAGATACTGTTCCCAATGGTTCTGTTACACAACGAACAGTTGCAAACCACGATCCCCCCTTTCATCCACACACAATTGTACTATACATTACCTACGGCCCTGGCAAAGCAAGGGCTGCTGTGTCTGTGCCCCCCACCAGCCTCTGTGGAAGACTTCGGCAACCAGAAATCTGAATAAAGTCTTCTGCACAGAGTTGTACTACTGCAAGAAGCACTGAACCACTTCATGTGGCCTTGTTCATACCATGAACTGACAGCAGAGCAGAGGACAACACCCTGGCGCCCCACATGTCAGGCTCCTACTCTAACCAGTTTTACTCCTCTTGGCTGAAGAGGAAGGCAGCCAAGTGCAAACTGCATCATTTTTAAAACAGCTGTCCAGCGCCATGGCACAGAAATCAGCAG